GCTGAAAACCACCTCCTATTTGCTTTTGTGTCTATACCTAGGGGAGGACAGAAGAAGTAGCTTCAGCCCCACTTGACCTTATCTTCATCCATGGCCACGGTCTGGTGGCGAGTAGCAGTCTGAGGTTCACTCTAGCTGGCCAGCTGGAGCTCCTGTTAGCTTGTCCCTTCCAAGTCCAGGCCTTAAAGCCAAGAAAATGTCTCTTTCCACCTCTATATTCCTCACACAACGTATTTTGCTAAAGCAGCTACGCTCCAGATAAAAACCGTCTTGAAAAAGAAATGAACTCTGGGTAGATCCGGGGACGTTCCCAACTCCAAACGCAGCTCAGGCCCCAGCCTTGCCCTTCTCCCCTTCCTTTGCAGGCTTTCTCTTCTACGTTGCCTGTGACTCGGAAATCACCAGGGAAGACCCAGCTGGGACTATCTGATTTTCTTTTTTCACACAAATTGCAGTGTGATGTGTGCGTCCACTGCACGCCCCGGCTTTGGTGCAGCTCCCTGGGGCTGGATCCAGGTGCAGACGACATTTCTCAGCAGCATGGCGTCAAAAGCATTTTGCCCTCAATAAATCTGGGCCAACGTATCTAGAGTAATACTTTGGGGGCTCTGATATTTTAAGGCCTTCAAAAATCCTTTCTTAGCTTTGCCCTTCAGGTCCAACTCCTCCTCTCGGGGTTTCTAAGCTACCCTCTATTTCAAGGCCCCTGTGCTTCACTCCCCATCCAAGCTTACACTGGCTCACGGGTCCAGTCCCCATCATACCACGTGGGTCTCAGAAAGCATCTGTTCCTACACCCATCATCTCCCGTGTCCCAGATCCACTTCCCCAGACAAACGTACCTGGCGTGGCACGAGGTGCCCTGACGAAGGGACGAGTTACCCACCACAGCTGCTGGAGACTCTTCGTTCTCATGCAGAATCGGCACGTTCCACATCAAGGCAGCGCAGCAGCCTCAGGCTCTCCCTCACCGGAGTCCCCCGGCAGCTCACTCTTCATTCACCTCCTTCGGGAGGCAGCTAACGCACCAGGCTCTGAACGGCATTCAACAGTTCTGCTGCTCCCCCCGTCACCCCTTGCCTTTCGGGGACCGCAGCAGGAAACGGGGCTGGCCATCTCTCACCTCCTCAGATGTCACGGTCCACCTCTCCAGGCCTAGCTGACCTCGTTACGCTTTCTTTTCAAGAAAAAGCTTTGCAGGAGGTAACCAATTCTCCTACAACAAGGTCCTGAAGTCAGATTTTCATGATCTCTAGGCAGTTTTTAGTAGTTTCTGGACAAAAATCCAGAAGATTGTACTGCTTCTGATAAAGACGAAGGGGGAAAACAATTAAGTACATTGCTGAAGTGCTGATAACCACCGCAGTGGTTTGTATTTGTTATTTGCATTAAGGAGCTTTTAAAACAACTGACAACCGCTGAACGTGCTCGTTGTTAGCAACCCAAACACCCCACTGCCACTGCGTAATTCGTCCTTCCCTTTCAGGGCTTTCTCTCTCCTGCTGCCGGGTGCAGCGCAGAAACGTTGCACGCGCGGCAACAGCTTCACACCGGCCACAGCCCGACCAGGGAGGCAGGAGCTCAGCCTGCCCAGGGACCGACGACTTCCCGACGCCGCTCTCCAGTCCACCCCACCAGGCCTAACGCTGCTGCGGACCGTTGCATGCACAGCCTCCAGCAGCGAGATCCTCACCCCGGCCTCGGGCCGCCCGGTTCTGCTTTAACACGAAAGCAGCTTCCCAGATGCGCCAGAGCCAGCAGGCATCCCCTCCGAACGCACGCTGACACGAAGGGGAGTTAGTTAAAACGAGCAGGCAGGTGGTAGAAAGGATCGAACCATTTTCCTCTGCAAAGCACTGCCCTCAGAATAAAAGGCCAAGATGACCCTCTCGCTAGCCCACCGATACTGCTTCGTTTTTAACCTTACGTTCTCCGAACTATCGCTTCCAGACATCTAATCCCAGTCGGCTGCTGCTTTCAGGAACCAAACAAAGCAGGCTGGCTGGGTAGGTGGAAGCAAATTCTGTAGATAGGACTGATTTCGCAGGAGCTGGAGGGAAGCAGACTGAAGTAGCCCGAAGGTTAATTAGCGCAACAACAGCAAATCCTAGCAGGACTTTACATGTTGAGAATTAATTATGTTTCAGGGGATTGTTTCCTTTTGATGAATGCCAAGGACTACAATGGGAAGGTTTTACTTGTCTCAGGGGCCTTTGTTAGTCTATTTTCTTTCTTGTACCAATCAAACATGATTTGTTTTAAACATACCCTAAACTGAGCTGGCACGGTGACTTTAAAAGCTCCTGCTGGTAACCAGAACATGCCAAGCACAAACACTAATTCATAAACAACCTCCGCTTCTGGAGTCTTTAGGGCAGAGCCTCTCCACAAACAAACTGTAGGATCTGCTGAACTGGAAGTGAAATGGCAACGCCGGTCGCATTTTGCTTCTGCTGCTGGTTAGCAGAGACAAATAACAACCGTGGGATGGTCTTCACCCTCACTCCAGTGCCGCGTTCTGGAGAAGACCTGAAGTGACAAGACCAGCCCCCAAATCCTAGTATCAATCCTGCCTCACCGGTACTCAAAGCTAAACCCACACTGCTTTCAGACGTTCTGATTTTGGCTGTTTGCCCTCA